AATATATGAAATTTTGAAATTGTAATTGATTATAATTTCCAATCATCTAACCTATTGTTTGTTTAACTACTTCATTATAATAAAGTAAATCAAATTCTTATAATTTATATATACCTATACTATATATTTTAATTTTTCCAAATAAACCCGCCATTCTCTAAATACATTGACTATCACTAGTAATTCTTTATCATATATTTCGTAATTCAATTCAGCTAGTGATAGCTTTCAAAAGTAGAATATAATTGATTGCTATTCCTCATTTTAACCTGATTAGCTTAATACTACACCTATAACAAAATCTAAAGAGTCTATCTCCACTATAATTTGCTTATCAGGATTGAATATCAATAATATTAGCTCCTCGGTCACTACCTATTTGAGTGTTTCAAAGAACTTCTATATCTTAGTAATCTATTCGAAGCTTCTTTAATCTTTTTTGGTTAATATGGTCAAGGATATAATAATCCTTAAATAACTTTTGATAAATCTTTAATAGAAATTGATAAATTCCAAAATGATTGTACTTCCTTAATCATAATTGGCTACTTCCATTCAAGCACTGCTTTAACCTTATCTTTATTCATCTTGAACCTTTAATTTAATACAATGAATCCTAAAAACTTTATTTCTATAACATAGAATTCACATTACTTAATTTATATAATAAATCAACTTTAACTAAATTTTCAAGAATATTACTAATATCTTTGATATATTGGACCTCATTATTTAAATATATTAGAATATTGTTCAAATAGTATATACAATAAGTATCTAAGTATTGTAATAGCATATTATTCATAAGTCTTATGAAAATAGCTGATACATTAATTAATCTGAATAATATAACTTAATACTTATATAGCTTATATCTTGTTTTAAAAATGGTTTTCTATTCCTCGCCTTTTTTTTTTTTTAATTAAGTAGTACCTGTTTCGTAGGTTTATCTTAGTAAATATTATTAGTCCATTTAATCAATCTTTTAATTCTATAATTAATAAAAGTGAATATCAATCTTTCTTTATAAGTATATTAAGCTTTCTATAGTCCACAACTAATTTCTTAATACCATCTTTCTTAAGTACCCACATAGTTAGACTTACCACTTAAGATATAAATTCCCTAATCCATCCCTTGGCCAAATTATCATTGATATATTCCCTAAATATCTCCAGTTTATCAACTAACATTAAATAAATTAGAATATACATAGGCATCTTGCCTTCCTTTAATATTATCTTATAATCCTATGGCTTATATTCTAATAAAGTCTTATGGATTTCTAATTCTTTAAAAACATATTTGTATTTCTTATACTGTTCTAGTATTATAAGCTTCTTTACTTTAATTGTAATTTCGTACTATATCATTAGCTTCTACATTTATAAAGAAAATATACTAACCTTCATTCTTAATAAAGGACTTTAAATTAAATGTCCTATATTACCAATATTGTTTATATTCAATTTTCCTTAATATATATTACATCTCGTGGATACCTTGAACATATTATTATAATTGTTCTTATATTAATCAAATATTATTGTTTTTTATAATTAATTTATTTTAGAATTATATACCTTCAATTATAGTATCCCTAAAATGATCTATTATTGACCTAATAATATAATATCAAGCTATATAACCTTTGAATATTAAATTATATTTATTTATATTGATTATATCTTTTATAAAACATTCCCATTAAATTTTACTAATTATTCGTTAACTAATTATAATTAATAAGATTTTTGTTTTTTTTAGAATAAAACTTTTAAGTACTCTATAGCTTCTAATATAATAAAGTTTCCTATAGCCTTTAAATTTATTATAACTTGTTATATATATCTGTTTATTTTGACCTTATAATATATCTATTCTGCTTATCCTATAGCATTCAATTACTGGATAACTTGTTTTTTATCTGTTTTATTAGATTATTGATTCCTTATCTTTCTTTTTTTAAAGAATTATTTGGTTGCTTCTTTATTTAATTAATGGATTCCGTAGAATTTATTATAATAAGTAGTTTAGCTTATTATTATGTAATCCACTAATATTTCTTCCTTAATATATTCTTTTGTTATAAAAGATAATAGGGTTCGATAATACTCTTATTCCTATAAGTCTACTATATTTATATTCTTTTAGTTTTGTGGTAACTTATCTAATAATTTCCGGAATTCTTTATTGATAAAGGTCTCAATTTCTTCAATCTTAATTAAATATTCCTAAAATACAAAGGTAGTATTAAGTTGACCTTTGCTAAACTTGGATTTAAAGTTACTCTTTCTTTCCCCTACCTTCTTATTTAACAATCTACTGCTCAATACCCTACTTTTCTATATTCAAAGTATAAATTGTTTTCCCATCTTTATTTCTTTTCTAGATTATTATTCCTTTTCTTATAGTATATAATGTTTAATTCTATAAAGTCCCTATAACTCTATGAATTATAACATAATCTTTCCTCATTCTTACAATAACACTCTTACTTTTGATTTCCTTAAAATTTATATAATCTTTAACTTTATCGATATTAATAAAGATAATCATTTGATTCAATAAAATCCTGAATTAGATTATTCAAGTTTACACTCTCAATAAATCTTTCTAATTCTAATCTGACTTCTGATTTGAGTTCTTTATAATAATAATTTATAATAACAATTTCGTTCTATTTAATTGTTCCTACATATCTTTGGAATTCCATAGCATACTTCAATACTAATTCTATTTACTTGAGATTAAAGATCTTATCTTTTATTACCTTTAGCTTATTAAAGTTCCTAAAGATTCTACAAATCTCTATTTTAAATTCTTCAAAATTATTAAAAATTGTTTGAATGAGTTATATATAATCCTAATCATTATACTCGAAATAATCTTACAAATATAATTGAATCCACTTATTTACTTCTTCTTTAAAGTAGAATATAGTTTATATACTTTTGAATTCTATAACTGTAAAACTTATCCTTATTAAATCAAAAATAAATTTCTAATTATAAAAAAAAATGTTGAGTTTCTATTGATTATCTTAATATTTGTTTGATAAAACAATCTTAAGGGTTTTATTAATAATAATTTCCTATAGAATATTGATTATTTTAATATTATTAATATTTACTATTAATATAAGCTGACTTGTAAGAATATTTCTAATTGTTATATTTTAGTAATAGGTTATTGAATTAATACTTGAAGTAAAAAGAATGCTTAAAATGTTATAGGAACTGTTTTTAGGGTTATATGGAAATATTTAGAATTCTTTCGAAATGATTTAAATTAAACTTCAAATAAGAATTTAATAAGATTGTAATTAATTACAATTCTTATAATTATAATAATAAAATTAATGATTGTTCTTGAATATGAAGCTCTATATTATAATAAAACCCATTCCCTTATATAAACCTTCGTTTTCATCTGAATAGCTTAGATAAACTATCTATCCTGTTTATCTATAAATAGCCTAAATAGCTTGCCTATTCTGTCTATCCATTATATAATACTTACCCTATAATCTATATAATACTATTGCTTATTTAATCTATACTTACTAGATAACCTATAACCACAATCCCTTTTATGCTTATTGTAGAATAGATACTAATAAAAGATAGGTACTTATCTTTTAATTATTACTTATTGATTCGATTACCACTATCTTTAGTTACCCTTTAATTCAATTGTTCCTATAATATTGTTTTCGTAGGTTCCAACACCAAGGCCTTAAGTTTACCTTATAATTCATATTGCGGTGCGGGTACCTCCGTAACAAGATGTTCTATAAGATTATCTGATTATGATTTTCTTGATTTCTTTACAAGAGAAAAGGAGAATAGTTGATTTTTGAGATCTTCACGAGAAGTATAGAGTGGTTTTATAATGATGAGATAGTATTTTTAAAGATTGAGAACATTTCGAAGCTGCATTAAAGGAAAAAGTGTGAAGAATGTTTAGATATTCGATGATATCATCTGATTTCATTATTGCTTTTTAATAAAAATGAGGAGAAGGTAGATGATTTTATAAGTGTTGAGAATTATTAAAGGAAGTATAAGATGAGGCTGTAATTATAAGATAGTAGATTTGGAAATCAACAACTTTTCAGAGTTGTTTTATAAAAGAAGGAGTGACGAATATATAAATGTTTAATGAACCTATCATATCTTAGTCTTTTGGGGTAAAAAGAGAGAGATGATTGAATTTTGAGGTTTTGAAAGGAAAATTTAAGAAGAGTTTTACAATAATTGAACTGTAAGTAGGGAGATTATCAACTTTTTAGACTTGGGTTGGTGAAAATTAGGTGGAGGATGTGTGGATGTTTGATCAAAGCATCGGCTTCTGCTGCTTTTTTGGCGAAAGAGGAGAAGAATAGTTTGTTATGATTGTAGTAAAAGAAAGAATGAAGGAGTTTTATGATAATAGAATTGTAAATTTGGAAGTTATTAACTTTTGGAGTGGTAGCAGGTAAAAGGGGGTGGAGGACATGTATGATATATTCAGTGTTGTGAGATCTGTACAGATGGATGGATGGAAGGGGTTGAGGAATATACAGAAGTAGGGACATAGTAGAGATGGAGATGGTGGTGTAGTATGCAGTATGTAGTTGTAGCCGGGAAGAGAGCTGAGATACCTGGGCTGGGACATTGAGGTTGGATGCTGGTGTGAATTGAAGGAAGTGTACATGTTAATATTTGTGTGTTTGGAGTTGAATAAGATCCTTCAACTTTTTTTAAAGAAGAGCTACGTATTTATGGTAACCACTATACTTTCTTGAGTAAAATAGAAGGACAACAAGGTATTCACAAGGGTTTAAATAAAATTCTCACAAGACACCTAAAAAGGTAATCAAACGAATAAAATCAACTATTCTATTTAACAAAACTCCATTATACAACATGAATAATCATAACCCACCAATCTTCGAATAAGCATTTCCATTCCCATACCCATACCCATCATCATCATCATCATCATAATCTCCAAGGTTACATCATAGCCCACCCCCAAACAACCACCACCGCCCCCCAAAGCACCAACCCTCCACTCACCATCTCCGCCGCGCCCCCCTCAAAAGCCACCACATTACTTTTCTCCCCCAAATTCAACCCGGGCGTCGGACTAGCCACCGATCCCGCCGTCTCATTCCCATTCCCAGCTTCATCAGGATAAAACGGTTTCGCCACAATGACTCTTGACGGGTTTCCCGTCTCCGCAGCCGCATCCTCATTCCCACCCTCATCTCCCGTCCATGCCACCGCCTGTTTAGCGAGTCCCTGAAGTTGTCCTTTCAAATCATCTTTTGCGGCATTGAGATAATTCTCCGCGTTGATATCGAGGTCGAAATCTGGGATACCTCCAGATCCGATACCGAGGAGTTCGAAAGCGGGGGGCTACGCTGGGGAGAGCGGGAGAGGCGGGGAAGAGGTTTGTGAGATCGTCAGTGGGGTTCCTATACAGGTGAAGGCGGGGGTTAGTGGACATTTACCACCGTTGCCACAGTTGGGGTATGCGGGATCATAGGTGGGTGAGGGACGTGGAGGGGGAGTGCAGTTACCTTCGTCGTTGAAGTCGCCGAAGTCGCCGATACTTCCGACGAAATCGGAGATGTGGTTGAGGATGGAGTCGTCGTTTGGGGTGGGGTTGTTGTTACCGCTGGGTGGGGAAGGTGGTTGAGCGACTGGTGAATTGGCCGGAGTTGCGGGGGTAACAGCTGGAGCTGGAGGATTTTGTGATTGCTGTGGACCGGCAGGAGATGCTTGTGGTGCTACGGCACTGGGAGAAGGTGCTGGTACTGCGATTGGAGTGCTGGAAGGTGCTGGACTGGCGACGTTTCCAAGTTGATATACCTTGACTGATTTGACCAACCAGTATCTGATTTTGTTGAATTAGTCTCTTGCCTTTCCCGTTGAACAACAAAGATAAAAATCTCTCAAGGAAGAGAACTCACTGATCACCAAAAGCCTCTGGTTTACCCGCCACATAATCCACACAAGTTGCCGCTTTTGATCCACAAGTAGCATCACTTGACCAAACAGCACTTCCCCAATCTCCACAGAACGTCGTATCAAAAATCAATCTATTTTCTTTGAAATGAGTATCAATATCACAATCACCTTCGAAATTTGAAACTGGAGTTCCCCATTTACTTGGATCGGGGTTTGGTCCGTTGATATCTGCGGGTGCTGATCCAGCTGGAAAGAAATAGACGCGGATGTGGGAGGACGTCCATTCCATGGCATAGATACCACCACCATTGAGGTTGAACCCTCGGCCATAGCTGTTGGTACGTGGATCGCTTATTCCGCAACCGACACCGACGGGATTGGCGAAGTTGTTGCAGTTGGCGGTCTGGAGAGTGCCAGTTTGTCCTGAACCAGCGACTGAGCATGTTGGACCACTTTGATCATTCTTATTAGCGAACTATGTCAAGGTGGGTTTTGTGACTTTCAGGGAGACTAACGAGTGCAAAGACATGAGATTGTGATTCTGGCTATTCACACCCTCAATGATATCGATTTCCCCTAGAATCGTCATTAACAATTGACTCCTCCCTAAAGATGGCATACAACACACCATTATATGGCCAATTATTGCCCACAGTCCACACTGTACGAACAGATTAGTCTAATATCCATTAATAGCTACCCGAGTCAACAACTTACTCGCTGGCCAAGAACCACAGGCGCCACCAGGCATATGACCCAAATCCGCGATGAAAAGTCCATGAGTCCAACTTTTTTTACTCTCAATCCTTACACTATTTCTTCCCGGTCCACTAGGATTCAATATCGTTTTGGAATCAACTCCCATATAAACCCCATCACTTCTCACCGATATCAATCCTTGCTGCGAAGCAGCACTTTCACTCACATATGTCACAAACCCATGAGTTGGATCGGGCGCTGTAAAGAAATCAAACGCATCGAAAAAAGTGTTGCCACTATAGCTTTCCTCCAACTGATATCCTGTGAGTGCCGTAATGGAAGTTATGAAGCTAGAGATGGTAAGGCATCTCAAAAAGAGTGATGAGGTTGCCATTTTAGACTATCTTTAAAGGTATAAAGGAAGAAAGGAGTTGAGAAACGAAACGAGGAGAAACGAGTGACTGGATAAAATGCAATAGTATAAGATAATAGGAAGAATGGTCTTAAAAGAGGCGGGGATTAGATCACATTCTTATGTTCTTCATATTTTCTTGTGAGACTATTAGACTCAGGGCCAAGTGTTGTCATAGCCACTGTTTTCCGTTATCTCCAACCCGTTAGGTATTCATTGATATGTTGGGAGTATTTTTCAAATCTTCTCGGAATGAAACTCGCATTCCTGGTGATATTGAAATTTGTATTTGTCACAGGAGAATGTTCCGTTCCTGTAGTTTCCACTAACCGAGCAAAGGGGGTCGAGAAAGCGGAGATTCGGAATGCACCACATGAAGAATGAAGGGGGAATCAATAAATGTATATATTGGATGAACTACCATATAACATGTACTTTCCTTTGGCCTTGCCTCCTGTTAAGATTAATTACTGACTTCATTGATATTCCAATTGCACATTTCAATCTCGCCCATTGAAGTTTGCTTAAGAAGAACTGGATAGTTTGGTAGACATTCCAATAAGACATAAACCCAATTGATAGCATAAAACGCGGTAGAAAAACTCGAAATCCTCTATATGTTCCATGTAGATCTGGTCTAGAACAGAGTTGGTTGCCAGGTGAAGCATACCTAGTACTTGCCATTGGAGTGACCTTGACAATGTGAGACATTTGTGCGATCGTCGAAGTAGACTACATAGATCATTAATTGTCCTGAGCAGCGAGTAGACTCTGTTGATGATCTTCATACAGAAAGAACATCTCGTGGCTAGAAGTAAGATTAAAGCACTCGAGATTTGGATTCGAGATTGGCAATCAAATTCTATCAATCACGTGTCGTAAGCCCTTCAAAATTCCGCTGCACATCACAAGTTTTATTTTCAACTCACCTTCGCAAATTTATTTACATCTGAAGTTACGACTTCTAATATTCATTCTCTTTACACGAAACAAAATCAACACTTTTCAAGATCCATGTGACACATCACGTGTGAATGTTACGCCGAGCTTATGTTGGATATCCACAACATTATCCCGTTGATTGAATTCCATCAGTCCCTATCGTTTATCTTAAAGATTTCCAAGCTTTAGATTTGAGGTCTTAGAGATACACGTTGAAGAATGGTCTTGAATGAAAGCTCCTGCATATACAAGTCGAGAGTAGATATTTGCATATCATACAGCCAGCCAGTTGCACTATCATGAGAAAATGGAGTTTGTGAATGTAAAATATAATGTTCTGAACTAAACAATCTCCCGAATCCTTATCCAAACTCCAACACCACCAAATCGCAAATCCTCAATCTTTGATTTCTAATATACAAAAAGATCATTTTGTCTTCCCTCTATCCTAACGAGAGTACGATCTGTTGCCCGATGCTCAATTCATCTCCCTCTTACAATTTCATTCCCAATGCTTGTCCGACTCTCAAACTCTGTCTGATACTCAAATCCAGCATAATCTCCTCACTTCCTCCCGGAATAGCATAAGCTCTAACATCTCTGTAAAGCCTCTCCACCTTTCCACCTTGTCCACCACGACTATAACTCAAACCTCCAAAGATTTGACTTGCCTCTCTGGCACAGAATTCAAAGGTAACAGTAGCTTGAGCCTTGAGACCTGCGATTGGTCCACCGAGTCTCAACATAGCTTCTGTCTCTCCCATCTTTGAGCATTGGTAAATGAGGGATTCGAGCCAAGAATATGAGGCTTCGATTTGACGCGCCATATGAGCGAGCTTGAGACGAATGACAGGGTGGTCAATGAGTTTCTTGCCAAATGTGCGACGTTTATGTGCGTACTTCACAGATTCCTCGTAGCAGACACGGGAGAAACGGAGACATTGGATGATGATACCAATTCTCTCATGATTAAAGTTGGTCATGATAACTATGTTATTGTCAGCGGGTTTTCAAGGATAAGGTTACGACGTAACATACCTTTGAATCCTTGGTTCTCCTTTCCGATAAGATTCTCAACTGGAACCTTCACATCCTCAAATGTGATATAAGTAGTTCCACTAGACCAAACACCTTGACAATCCATCTTTCTCGTGCTAACGCCACCAGCTGATCTCTCGATGAGCAGAACACTGACACCATTCATACCATCCTTTCCGGTTCTAACCGCAGTTGTGAAATAATCACACCAAATACCATTAGTGATCCATTTCTTTTCCCCATTGACGATATAATGTTTTTCATCTTCTGTCAACTTGGCCTCGCAAGTCAAATTTGCAACATCGGAACCAGCATCTGGCTCAGTGATAGCCAAACAAATTCTCTTGTCACCATTCAAGATCCCAGGTAAAATTCTCTCGACCAAAGGTTTCTTTCCAAATTTGACCAAAGGCGGACAGCCAATTCCGAATCCTCCGATAACATTCCACACAAATCCACCACTTGCCGCACGCGACAATTCATCTGTGAGAAGCATTTCATGGAACAAATCCCACTTCTCCGGTGCCACACTCTTGATTCTATTTTCTGTGTATTGAGTTGGATAATGCATACCCATCAATCCAGCCAAATATCCTCGAGTTCCCATCTGTTTGTAAATTTCATCTGGGACTTTGCGTGCCTCGTCCCATTCACCGACATTTGGTTCGATTTCAGCCGATACCCATTCGCGGATTTCTTCGCGGAGAGCAACATGTGTCTCATTGAAATATGGTGAGTGGTACTATTGTCACATTAGTATAATTCGCAGATTCGCGAGAGTGGAAAAAACATACACCCTGATACCACGATGGGTCTGCAAACGGAATCAAATCACCATACGGATCCAACGGTTCCGATTCCTCCTCAACCTGCTTCGCAGCCGCTGTTGGAACCGGCACAACCGCACCACTTTCCGCCTGTGGCTTGACTGCTTCTTTTGCTGGTGGAGGAGTCGCAGGTGGTGTTGGTGGTGCTGCGGCTTTCTTTGTATCTAACGATCCCACCTGTAGCTTTGCCTTGTATTTCTTGAGAATACCTTCATTATGGTACTTCCAGAATTGTTTCGAAGCATCTTTCCCAGCAACTCTGGTAAGAATCTTTTTGCCACCTGGATGGTCGTCTTGAAATTTGGTGAGGTCATAGACATCTTCATCTACGACAATGTAGAGATCATCCGGCTTATTGTGCGATGCAACATCACTCTGACTGAAAGTCTTTGACATTTTTCTGTATGTGTTGGTTCGTATTATAGAATTTGTTTAACGTAAGTCTAACAATGTAGATAGATGTATCGATTCTGAGTAGTAAATAAGAACAAGAAAGTAAGTGAGTGGATAGGAATAAAGTAGGTGAGGTGTGAAGAATGAGATGTGTTTACTAATTATTCGGGAGATGATACTCGCTTTTGTTTGACAAGCAACTTTCTTTCTCTTTCACATGTCACTCTCACTTCAAACAAGCATCGCATGCAATCCTTGGTTCAGCTGTACACCGTCTTCCGTTACCAACCAATTTGATCTCACATCTAACCTCTCTTCACCCCGGATTTTCTCCATCTTGTACAAGTAAAATGCTATCACCTGCCTTCCGGAAACACCTCATGTGCACTCTGTCTTACCATTTCCCATCATATGATTGGTCCATACATCGTATTTGACATGTGAAATCCCACCGGTTGCACTTAGCGCTGATGCCCGGGTGCCGAGGTATACTCACTAACACCGACAATAGAACACACGTGACTGTTCTCGGTTAACCTATGTATGGAGATTCAATTTATTATTCCAATGAAGCCAAACAAGTGCAAACGAAGAACTCTCAGACAAAGTACTACGTTTCACCGGATTCTTCACATGTCATGCATGCCACTAGATCTGACTCGGCATGGGAATCCTAATAATATGCTATGGTATTTTGCTAATGAACCCTCAAGTCACGTACGAGTCAAATACCAACTTTGGGCCGTGCAATGTTGCTTCAGAAAAATCCTCCCAATGATATCGAGCGCATCCGTTCCACTGCTTAAACTTCAGACCACCCCTTATAAACAATCCTACTTCCATAAACTTGTCCTTTCTTAAGCAATACTTGTCCTCTCCATTTCTCCTCGTTGATTGCATTAACGTATCGACTTGGCTCGACACAGAATCCACTTCTAGCTCCTCTCGCCTCCAGTCCCTCAACTGCTGGTACATCGATGTATTTTCCAGTATAAAATTGGAATGCGGGTTCGGTACTCGAAACTTCCAGATGGATACCAGTCTCTGGATGAGAAGCTTTGACTAGGGTAGTGAGAGGCGAAGATCGTGTATCGAGGGGGGTAGATTCGGATTTCGCATCCACAATGAAACAATCATCAACATTTGGTTCCTCGGGCCCCAATGTAAATTCCTTATTAGGTGTAATGCTCTCATATGGCTTTGGTCCAGAGGTAGGAATTCCTCCATCGTCGACTGGTAGGTAGTCGTTGGTACATAATGTGACTTGTGTACCTTCGATTGTCGATTTGCCAGTGAGGTTGAAATAACTGTCATGACATCAATGATCTCTCTTCCGAGAAAGTCAAAACAATTCAGTTAAACAAAGATTACTCACGAATGATTGGTGACATTGACAACTGTCTCCTCAACTCCCTTTCCATCATCCACCAACTTGACCTCATATTCCATACCCAACACTCTGACTTCCTTTCCATCGACCTTTTGTTTTCCCGTAGTATAAACCACACTAACATCCAATGTTCCCGGATAACCTTCCTCACCATCCTCATCCCTCAACGTAAACTGCACACTCTCACCTCCCTCCAATCCCTCCACTCCCGGAATCTCTCTCAAACCCACCAACTTTGGACCTTCCCAAACACGTTTACCCCATCCCTTCACACCACCATGTAACGCATTCGCCCCATTATTCTGCGCAAGAGTATAAGATTTCCCATTCAAAGAATTAATTTTCGCATTAGCGATACGATTCGCGACTCTTCCGATCGTTTCTCCAAAAAACGGCTGGTTGTGTTTTTGATAGAGCTCCGCGGTTGGAAATGATTGGACGATATTCACCGATTTATCTTTCGTGGGGATGAGGAAGCTTTGGATGATGGCTCCCAATGGGAGAAATTCGAAATCTGCATCGAGAGGCATTTTGATGTTTCGGTTTTGCTGGTTGAAGAATGGAAGATCTGGACGAGGGTGAACAATTCAAGATGTTGTAAACACTAGGTAGAGATTTCCTTTCCGAGAAGAAAATTAGTGAGGTCATATGAGGAAGGAGGGGTAAATGTGTCTTCAGCCTGATTTCGAGAGGAGGTGGGGTGAATCTTTATGGGGAAAGTGGGGGTGGGTTATTCATAAAAAAAGGATTTTCAGTATGAGTGTGATGAATCTTAGATACTTCGCCTAGATGAAATTGATCCATGCAATTCATGTTCATTTTTGAAGCTTCGAGGGGGCATTGAAATGTTTCTCTAGAATCCATAAGTTACATCAATTTTGCCTACGTTTTATCTTTTCAACGAAAGGCAGTGAAGAATTTATCCCATGAATCATCAAAAGCTCATAGCAATAACTTGATATCTTAAAGTAATTACTCCGGTCCTATATAACATCCGTAGTGACAGTGCTACGACATTGTTGAATGAAACAAGAATCCGAAATGCAATGATTAGTGCCTCGCCAATTTCCTGAACGTTTAGCGCTCCTGCCCCTATTTCGCTTCCGAGAATAGTTCCCTTTTGAAAACTAACATGTGCTTGCTTCACCACCCTTTAGTTTTCTGAAGCTTCTGTGTTAGAATAATTTTCAATTAGTCTCCACTCAATTTATCTTCAGAACTAATTGCTGGTAACATCCAGAAATCTATTATTGAAAGCCTAACGTTCTTACGAATAAGTCCCATGGGTATGTTGTGTCGGGAGTAATATCCCAAGACTTCCCCTCTCGCCTTTGCTTATCGTTATGAAGTGAGTGAAGTTTCTTTAATTCAACCAAAGTCTACCATAATAGTATGCAAGCTTGAAGACTATTATATCTCTTTGATTGATGCAGAAATTTCGCAACATGTAAAAAGTGAAACCCCCTAAATCATGGTCGCATATTCAATAATGTCTATCGGAAAGCTGAGGGACATGAATGCTGCAAGACAGATTCAGATAAGCTTAGATCTTAGGAGTAGACCTCGTCATACAGTCCATTCAATAAAAGCTTAAGCATCATCCACGGCTGTTCAATGGTAGTTCGGGTCAGTCCCGCTGGTAGAGAAGCTATAAACATAATCCTGGTTTATATTGGCCGGATAATCCTGATTCATATTGGCCATATGATGCGAGGGTTGCGAGTGAGAGTGTTTCGAGCGAGGGCATTTTGAGGAAACACTAGGCAAGTGGGTAGTATTTAGTACCAACAAGATTGAAGGCCGGATCTTTTCCAAGGCAGACCCACATTGGTGTTGGCATGGACAACAATATTAATGTTGAACAGCTGCTGAATCCAGCTTCAACAGTAATAGAGTTGGCAACAACAGGCATCATACGAAGTCATTCAGCGAAGAGATCAGCAGATAACTCTGGAGTCAGATCCTCCTTGAGTCTCACACTCAGTAAGATCCTCGGAAATGTTTCATCAACTGAAAGGAGGCTCCACATGGGCGATGGACCAGAACCTTAGTTGGGATCCGTCCTTTCATTGCTCGCAGACGAAGCGGTACTCGGCGATCCTAGTGTTGGCCAAGGGAATCCGAATAATTTCGGTTTTGGTTTTGGCTTTGGCTTCACTGAAAGTTGTATGCTTGATAGCAAAGTTGTATTTTGAGTGAGAACAACGTGCAGCGGAGCTTTCTGCAATTCTCTACCTTCGGGCATCCAATTTTGTATTCGGCATAGTATTCTATTGTATAGTACCGCTGCAGTGAACTTCGGATATGAGCTTAACAGGCGTAATTCAGTTGTCAAGGCATAGGTGAATGAATGGCGCCCGACACCATTTACGACATTGTTGAAACCACAAGCAGCAATGAGTTCTGTGGTTCCATACCCATTTCCTGTGTTAGCAGTGCCCGAGGAGCAACAGTCAATCAAGAGTAGAACGTCGGATTGTGCTTCTTCCAAGGAATTTTGAATCCCGCCCCATTTCACCATGCTGAGACTAGGGCCTTGGGATTAGAACGGCTAGGCAAATGAAGTGTTAGTTTTATGAGGCAATCATAGGTGATTCCTTAAGCGGTATGCCTCAAACTTCTCGTAGCAGCAGAATTAATGAAAACTTCCAGCACTAATTCAACGTCCGAAACCAACCCAACTCTCGGAATGACACCAATGTCTCAGATGAATTTGATACTTCGTTTGGTTTCAGTGCAGCAATACTTCTCACTGCCTGACTGCTATTCAGACAATTATACACACTAGTTGAACTCAAATCTTTCCAGAGACAAAAGTACTTTCGAAGATCAAATTTCCCGAAAATCGGTATGTGCTAGGTTTAAGCTTAGTAGTGTATCGTAGGAAATATTCATTAATCACTTACCTTACCTCACCCAACAAGGCTGCAGATTTTGAGCTAGCATGCCATGTCCGCCATAATAAACAGTTTTTAGGTCTTCCTTACTATCTCCACCTAGTTCAACGGAATCCGAAATCTTTTGATTCAATTTGTTGTGGCGTCCGCCACTAGGGATTCGATATATTTGTACTTCGTACCTGTAAATGGAAACTAAAACAATGCCTAGTTCATGGACTTCTAGTGGAACAAGCAATTGCGGGTCTTCGTCCTCCCATAATATGAGAAGAGCATAGTCTCGGGCATATCTGACTACAGCACTTCCAGTCAACAATATTCTTCCGACATTTTCAACAATGCGACAATCAATGGCTCACATAGAGTCAGATGCCGAGTGCTGTGTATTACTTACTGTTTTGATCATTTGGATAGGCCCCTTTAGCAGCTCTTTGTACATTTTCACCAAAGTCACGTAAGTTGATATGATACTGTAGTTGACTTAAATCATGAGGCTCAATTGGAGGGTCAGACAAGACGTCGTTCATTTCAGTGTCCGTCATTGTTCCGTACAATCTCAATTATTAAAGTTTAGAAGCACGGTTTTGATGTTGAATGTGTTATTTCGGACTAACAGAGAATCAGTCTACAGTCGAGCTCATCTCACTAGCTAATCCGAATCGGTAGGTGGCATTAGCCTAGATTCTGGTCAATTTTGTGACCGCGCAACCTTTCTGAAAATCATGGATTTGAAGCAGGCTAAAAGAGAAATTGTCAATGGTCAATTGATACGCCCTTATGTCTCGAATCTAGTGATACGTTAGAAAAATCATTCGGAGGATTGAGTAACAAAGGTATTGTGAGATGATTGGAGGGGGTTGAGTTTGGAAAAGCTTCAAGGTGATTCATGGAGCCAATTGGGCAAGATTGGGATAATATTTACCTATGAATCTCAGAAATAAATGTATGACAAACATTGAGCTGACACTGAATGATACCCTTCACTATTTCATCGACCCATGATACTTTCTCTCCGAATTCCACACCTAACTTGCACAGATGTGCGCTTAAGCAGATACTCAATGATACCACCAAAGATTGAGCCCCGTATTCCTACCTACAGAACTCGTTTTCATCGTTGTACTCAGTTCTTCATATAATTATCTGCAACTCAGCTTCTTGTGGAGCAATCGCAAAGCCATAATAGGGGCAATCAGCCAAGAATGGCTGGGACCGTAATTAGTACTTGTCATCAAAGCCCACGGACTTGTATCAAATGGATCAAGTACAAAGATCCCCTAGCTTTCGCAACAGGAGACAATAAACCATTGTTAGATTTGCCAGTGATGAGAGATATCTCTTGGTGAAGCAGCAATCGTATATTAAGCATCATGTAAAATTTCGAACTCAAGGAAACCGTCTCCTCGAGCAATATGGATAAAGCAAAAGTAAAAAGAAGAATAAATTTACCGTCTCTGTCTTCATGTATTGCAATGTTGCTAACAAATACTGCATATGCTACTCTAAAGCAACTTCGGCATGTGGTTAGAAGTTTAGCCCGCGTTTCTAGCAAAGTCTAACAACAGAAGATTAGAACGTAGAATGCAGATATCGATGCATGTATATGCAGTAGATCTGTGAGTGTAGGCGATGGAGATTCGATACTTGTACCGGTAGCCCTTTGGTAGAAAAACCTTTCGCTGATGCGAAGAATTACTCCAATGAAGGCATTTGAATTGTTATCCAGAGCTAGAAGTTCAACAAGGCAAATCTTAGCAAACGTACGTCATTTCTGCAGGAAAATACCCAACACCAATGGAGGTACGCCCAAATCACTTAGTTCAACACGACGCCAGCAACATCCCACCAACGGAGTCCTGTGGTGGCTCAATCAGTTTGTTCAGAATCTTACTGACTGTCGATATCCCGACGTTTATCCGACCGGATAAGGTTACGGAACCACCACCAACGAAATCAAACTTGTTTCTACCTCCTTCTTCTCTTCCGTCCTCTTCCTACACTGTACGCGTATCTACGGCGTCAATATCATCAACACCGAAGGACCCTTCCAAATCTCTGTACAAGGATCCAACATTGCACATCTGGAGATTTCGGTGGAGTCGTCGAAAGCTGCTACCCCATGCTCTTAATGTCGTGGATCCAGCTGCAGCCCTGCAGCAACGGCCAAACATTACCATTAAGGAAGAGTTCTCGAAATTTCACAATCGAGCCATACGGCCTTGAAACCACTTACTCTCCACTCACGAGTCAACACACCATGCTGTATCCTGTACTGTATCATGCTTTTTTGTCGTGTCCATATACAATTTGGCCCCGTTGTCCCTCTACCATCCAACCAATTTTTGATACGGTGGGGTACTAGAGGAAATAGCTACGACGCTAAGCCGAATGCGGTAGGATGTAAACAATTAAATTCATCTTGATCTGATTTCTCATATCATATTCACAAACCCGAATTCATTCGACCCATTCTCTCTAACATTATTTCACCCCATGTTATCTTTTAATTCTTGCTCTGTACTTTGGTTTTTGATTCTTTGAAGCATCGCGCATTTTCTTAACTCCATACGCAATACATTGTGCAGTATTCATTTGCTTTCCAGCGAGACAACAAACATATCAATTGTTGATCAAGGTAAAAGCCCATACATTGAAAGTATGGCGGACAACGACGTCGCCATGATCATGGAGGTTGATGAACCCATTGCTTTACGGAAGCAAAGAAGAAGTTGTATTGCTTCAGAGACACAATCACGATCAACTTCTCGAGCTTCAACGCCGTCTATGATCGAAGTATCAATACCTTTACCCGCAACACCCAGAGCAAGAAAACCTAAGAAGAAGGTAAGATACTCCGATCCAGGTCCAAACCTTCTTCAGGAATCATCTTCTGGTTTGACACCATTCCTTCGAAAATCTTCTCTCTCATCTGCGAGATCAAACCGTCGACATTCAGCACCTGTAAAGCGACTACCCGATCGTCGGCAGGACAACGAGCCATTCTCCGGAGAATTACAATTTGCCCCACTACGACAAGTGTTGGATGGAAGAGTGACAAGACGTATGAAAAGAAATCGATTGAGTGAGGAGACCAACAAGATTGACTGGGAGAAGAAACATGAGGCTAAAGCAAGAAAATCGGAAATATTTCGACTCAAGAAGGAATTGGAGGGAAAAAATCACGAATTACAGTGTATCCAGGATGAACATGACGTCGCAAGCCAATTAGGATTCGAGGCAGGCACATCTATTTGTGCAAATCCTGTTATCGTGGAGAAGTTTCAGGAAATGGAAAAAGAGATTCAGGAGCTGAAAGCCGAGTTATCGCAAAAGGAAGAACGTTCGAACGCTCAACATGACTGGCAAACTGGAACGCACGATCCATTTGATTTCGGTGACGATGATGATGATGATGATAATGGTATCAATACGAGTGTTGCCGGAGATCATGATGCCTTTAATAGACATGATGATGATCCTGGCATGGTGATCGACTCTTCATATGACGACCATAAGATGGCAACTTTTGACGACCCCTTTTCCAAATCCGATGACCTGACAAACATGCACAATATTCCAATTCCATCGCTACCTGCCGCAATAGCTGATGTCTCTTCACAAAAGCCTTCCCACTCATCAACGTCGACACAAGCTGACTTCCCGAATCCTCTCAATGAAAAGCTCGAAGCTCAACTTCTTCATTTGCAATCCGAGATCCAGAGTCTTACTTCCACTTTGGCACTGAACAAAGATCATGAATATCGCCTTTCCCAAAAGTTAATGTCATATATCCCATCTGACCAATCTCACGATAGTTCATCCCTCGAATCGGCGCTTGATTCGGTTCTTACAACTCTTACTATTGCCCAAGCTCAGGCTCTTGAAAAGGAAGCATCATTCAATGCTCTCTCAAACGAAGTAACCTCGTTAGGATTCTCTACCGATCCGGAAGCCACCATCCAGATTATTGTCGAACAATTCCGCAACGCAAGACTTGAGTTCGAGTATCTTAATCCCGGAGAAGAAAGTGAAGGATTCGAAAATGGCAAACTTCTGAGTATGTTGCTGGGACGTCTCAAGACTTTGGTCGAGAAAGCGAGAACACAAGATGAAACCATCGATCAGTATCACGCACAAGAGCTCATTCTCAGACGACAACTGGCGGCTCGTATTGATGCCTTCCAAGATGTTCAAAAGGAATTATCGGCTGTTTCGACCGCTGTTTCAAGAATGAGTAAAGAACTCGCCGAAAACGAAATTTCAAACTCACGCCTTCAAAGTGCGCTGAATGGATACCGAAGTGAGGTTTCTGGGTTGGAGAATCTCGTCGAGAAAATCGAAAAGGAGCACAAAGTCGTCGAGGATGATTTGAAACGTGGAATTCATAACCTAGACGATCAACTCCAGCACGAAATCTTCAGGGCAAACGCATTTGCCATGGAGCTCGAAGGAAAGAATATGATTGTGGGTGAACTTTCGACTAGATTAACGGCTGCTTTGAATGCTTCTGCCACCCTCCGGGATCTCCTCAATCAGAAAGATGGGCAAATACTTCTCTCAGATCGACGAATCAGCGAGGACTTAACAGAACGTGATGAAAGAATAGCAGAGCTTCAAGAAGAATTGGAAAGAACAACATACATCCTGAAGAATACTCAAAAGGCGGTTGAGAACTTGCGACAAGAAAACTCGGATTTGAAGACCGAAAACGAAGGTCTTGAGAACTACGCAGAACAATTAAAGAGACAAGCTAGCAAAGAAAGGAAGAGACGAGAGAGGGCAGCTGATGTAATGGCGAAACAAGCGGAGAGTGTTACCGAATATGCAAAGAGATTGAAGGAGGGTGGTTACGAGTCCAGCGAGACGGAAGCTGGAGAATTTACAAGGAATTCGCGAATCAAAGCCCCAATTGTCAAGAAAGGTCAGTTTCTGAATGCGACAAAGGCAAGAAGAAGATCAAGTGGTAGAGTGAGAGCTAGTGAGAAGAAGAAGAGGAGAAGATTTGATAGCGGACTAGGATTTCTGGAGGAGGAACAAAATGAAGCTGAGGATGACGGAAAGGAGAGAGAGGATATGTGCTGTAAGAGGGAGGAAGTGGATTCACTTACTTGATTTATGGCACTTTCACTAATGACTGTCTGGATTTCTGGTATTGGATGCCGGATACCTTATACCATATTGTACTATACCGCTCTATACCATGTGGGGACTGGGAACTGGGGTGGATTGGATTGAATGAGCATATATATGATGGGAATGGGAATGGAAAACTGGATAGACATACAGACAGATGGATGAAAGTCTATCTGTCTGTCAAATTACCTGTCGATATAGTTCTACTTGTTTTATTTTGTTATTCTGCGGTATGTCTAAAATAGGAAAAATTGGGTGGAGTGGTATGATATGATATAATACCTCTTCTTATGTATGCAAATGGAGATTTGGTGGCGAACATGATATGAGGATACTTTTTCTAGTTAGTTTTAATGTAAAGATAATTTGGTAACTGTTCTATTCATATTGATCTTGACTTTATAATTTTAGGTGCTCTGTTCATGCATGTACACTCGGAGTTTTGCTCCAGTGGGAAAGTGAAGTTATGGATTTGAATCGAGCTCTGGTATATACGATGTGAATAAGTGGAATGCGGTATTATCACAGGAGGGTTCTTGGGGTTACATTATAGAATCTAGATGGTTTTTGTCGATAGTGATGCCATCGGAAACCTACTTAGGTTGAGCCATGTTTATGAATATGGATTGTTGACATAAGATTGGAGATGTTGAGATATTGTAGATAACTTATCTAGAGGACGATTTTTTGTGGTGGGAAGCGGGTTGAGGTGAGGTTTGGGGTGGGATTTGGAGTGTGATGAAGATGAAGTTGGTTGGATGTTTGGTTGATGAGTTGATGAGTTGATGAGTTGATGAGTTGATTAATTAATTAGTTGATTAAAAAGAGTGATGAAGAGTTTTAGATGGTGATGGATTGGGAGTTTTTTTGCTTGGAGGAAGGAAAGAAGGTAGTTGATTAGGGGTTGATGATGGGGGTTGATAATGGGGGTTGGTGTGAGGTTTGGAGATGGTTGAGAGGTGGACGTAAGATAGGAAGGAGTGAGTGTTTAAGGGAAGAAACAAAACGTTATAATGCGCGGGCCCAGAAGTGTAGGAACAGACGGAGTAGTTGAGTGAGAGGTTGGTGTGAGGTTTGGGGATGGGGAGAGTGAAGGAAACAGTAGGAGGGGTGACTATTTAAAAGAAGAGATACGAAGATATAATAGTGCGCGGGTCTGGGGGATGTTCAAGAGATGGGGGTAGTTGAGTGAGAGGTAGAAAAGGACGTTGCAAGAAAAGAAGAGGGGATATTTCCGTGAGAAATATTCAGCTATTTTATACCAAATTCAACTTTTCAAGTACACAAACCATTGTTTCTAGAGATAAAATATCTTGCCGTGAAATTTTAGAGTCAAAAAGGAACAATAGGAACTATAGAAATAAGCTATTATAATCTTCAACCCTCCTCACAAAAATCCTCCTACCCAAAGATTCTCCCCCTTCCCCTTCCCCCCTCCAAACCCCCCATCCCACCCCTCAAATCAACTATTATAACAGAACCATTACAATCCCCATGAATCCAATAACTTTTCTCAAATCCCCATCTCTCTATCTCCCTCTCCTCCTTTCCAAAAACTCTAATTTCCCAAATCTCAAAAATCTCAAAAAAATCAACTTTTTCATACTCAAAACATTTTCGAGACCTATTTCAAAATTTCGTGGAAGGTTTTTTAACAATTCTGTCATTTGGGATTGGAAAATCAACTTTTGAGATGTGCAACAAGGAGGGGAAAGAATGGGAATCAGGTGTTTTGAGGAGCTGTAGTTGGTTCGGTTAGGGTTTGGGATGGAGGATTGTTGTTCCGAGGAAGGGCTGGGTTGGGTTAGTTGGGGTGGTTTGTTTGTGGGAATGCAAGTTTTGGAAGTTGGCTGTAGTCAACGTTGGTTGGGTATTGTGGATTTGGAAATTGGAGGATATAGACGGTTGAACGTTGAACGTGTGAAGTATGGTATGTGAGGATTTTTAGTTATAGGGCTTTGTGATTTTGTAACTTTGTATATTTGTATGTGAAGTAGAAAGATTGGCATTCTTCGAAAGGGAAGAGGAAAAGTTGACAAGGGTGGATAGGAAATGAATGAGAGGAAGAAGTCCCTGAAATTCGAAATTAAACAGTCTAACAATGTGAAGGTTTCTCTGCAATTGTTCTCTCCTTGCCTCATCATTATCAGATCTATATATTGTGATAAGCTGTTTCCTATTCTCCCCTTCTCGCTTAGTTCTAGGACACTGAAGTTTGGTGGATCTTTATGCTTGGAGGATGTAGAGAATGATAGAAATTCTGTCACTTGAGCTTTATCCTTTTGCAGAATTAGTGAGTATTTAACATTCTTTGCCATAATAATCATTTCTCCCTATATTGCCTTCTAGTTATGTTGTGAAGAAAGTTCTATTGTTTCCAACATCTGAGACTACAGCTAGTTGTCTTGAGCTCGAGGGCCAGTAGTTCCTTTCTATAAATAGATTCATATCTCAATTCTTTAATCGTGACTGGAATGTGACTGGAATGTAATTAGGCCTCAAGTCTATCCAGTTGGTGTTTATGACCAAGATTCTATGCATGTCTCCTCACAACCACACTGTTTATCTACACTTACATCCATTATATCCTCAGGTCTTGAAAGATATGTTAAGTAGAATTGAACTGTCTTAGATTATATCTTCCAGTCCACCTCTCATACCCCCAAATAACAAGAAAACATATCAACACTCACAAAGCAATCTCTCCTTCCCCCCCCTCCTTCATCAACCCCCAATACTACAAAATCAACTTTAATTACATCAAAAAGTTGTTTAAATAATAAAAACCCTGATCACTAACATCAGAAAAGTCTCTTCTCTCGAACAAATCCAACTTTGAAGCAAAATTCCAAGTTCTCAAAAATCTCCCCAAAAATCAACTTTGAGGTACTTCTTGAAAGTAACCTCGAAGTTTAGAAATTAACTAGAAAATCTAAAATCAACTATTTCAGATATGCAACAAAAAGCTCGAGGATTGCAATAGAATCATGTGCTTAGGGGTTTGGGGAAGTGTGGTTGGATGGTCGGAGAAGGAGAATGTTATTCCGAGTCCGAAGTTGAGCCATGGTGGTTCGTGCACGAATTGATCTGTTTGGGTTTGGGATATGGGTTGGGTGGCTTTGTGGACTGTGGTTAACAGGGCTTACGACTTTCCTACTGAGAGATGGAGTTGGAGTTGGACCTTGTTCTTGGGACTTTTATAAAGAAAATGTCCTTAGAGTACTTGATATTTCGTACTGGTTCCTGTTTTACTTGCTGTCAGACTTCTTTCTATCTTGTAAAGGAGATACAGAGTACAGACTACTAGGAAACCTTTTCACCAGGTAGAAAGTCAGAAAAAATATGGTAGACTCCTTGATTCTGGATCTCTCGTGCCTCTTCCAAAATATTGAAAATGGATGGGATATTGGAAAAATCAAGTCACTGATGAATAAAATGGTGGGTATTCAAATTTCGATACCATTACTTCTACTTCAATAACTTCTACTGTGTCGATGCAAATAGCAAGCTGCCTACCTCTACTCTACAAGTTCACATCTTTTCTTTTTGATCGGCCCATAAAGAGAATACAAGAAGCAAAATCTTGAGATGACCCGATCCAATACTATACCTCTTGCGACTTCCTGGGCTTCAGCCATGGTTCCATCAAAATCCCACATCTACCGACCCAAGCTCTCTTACTTCTTCTCCCACGGTAACTCCATTCCTGGCTTATAAAGTACCCCATCACTCGGTTTCGGTTTCCACATCCACCACGTAGTCTCTCCCTTGCACTCATGCGCCATCTTACGCCAAATAAATCCTGGTTTCCCGTTCTTGTAAGTGGTATCTACGAGCACTTTATTAATGGTTCGGAAACCATATTTCTCATACAGTGATACTCCCCCGGCGGAGGCCTCTACGAGTGCTTCTACATCCATTTCTGAGATTTTAGACATTCCATAATCCATGAGTAAAGATCCGTAACCACGACCACAGTGGTCAGGGAGGGTAAACATCTTGGAGAGATCTGGTAATATTAGCAAGAATAATGTGGTAGGTATGAAGACCTTTTAAGGAGAACAGAAGGGATCTGGGAATTTACTCACGAGCATGAGGTCTTGTCATTCTTGTGGCTCTCGTACCAAATACTTGGAAGATAACCGTCTGTACAAACTCGCGTGCTTCGCCTTCGGGCCACCAAGACATAATGCTATTGTCTTTCTTTTCCTTTTCCTCCTCATTACCATTTTCGGCATCTTTATTGCCATTCTTATCTTCATTTTCACCACTTTCCCCATCTTTTTCTCCCCCAAACGGACTCGCTTCATAAAAACCCCAATTCGCTGCCGCCAAAACTTTTCCAGCACCCTCTCCTTGATCCTCCACATTAACAATATACACCCAATAATCATCCTTATCCGCTTTATGAGATTTCCAAAATCGTTCCTTGAGCCCCTGGACTGCAGTCGCTACTCCTTCGGCAGTGGGTTCTTTGATCGGGACCATGATACCCAGAAACGGGTTGTAGGGATCGGCATACGACTCCCACATGCAATCTATCACGAGACAAAATTCTTTGAAAGTTGTGACGGTGCGAAGAGTGGGGGCCATGGTGGGATCAAACAAGACGTGATCTCAGATTAAGGGATTCCGGTTAGGACAGAAGAGTTCTAGAGGGTTGATTCCAAGGAAAGAGTTCTCGTCGTTGAAAGCTTAGGGCCACTGATAATGGTTTCTGAAATGAGATATTTCCACAATATGTACAGCCCCTGGAGAAAGATATCTTGTAGATTTTTCTCGCAAATTTCGAGGCGCAGCTGATGGAGATACATGAATACATAAGCACTTGTGCAAATGTGGCCTTAATCTTACTATCCAACATGTTCAGTCATTATGCGGGAAGTACGTTGGTGTTGGTGACTGTTGGAAATCTCATGCATGACAGGGGCGACTCGGTAATTGGCCAATGGAAGGTTTTGTGGTGATCACTTTGCTTCGACCACACCAACCACCTGTATTCTCGTTTGGTTGAATGGATATTGGACATTAATATCAAGAGATAAGTTGTGTGTGTGATGTTCTTGTTCTTCTAAATATGGTAGGTCAGATTTACCGCTAGTTTATCAAATCATCTTATTTTGTCTTCGGCTATATCGATATATGGCTCAACTCAACCCTAGTGAGGATTATGCAGAGTAGCAGAGACAATGATAAATAAGTAAGAGTATTAACAATATTTCGACTATCACAGAATGCCGGGGATAATTTGGAGGTTGTTCGTAGGATAGGCATATTTTGAACTGCATACTTCAACTCAGAGGTAGCGAGGATACTAATCGTGACAATTTCGCCTTTTCTTCCATGATATGCCAATAATACTCGACTCGCTTCTATCTAATCAAAGTTCTCGAATATAATAAGGATTTGCCATCCAGAGCCAGACTGAAGCTACAGTATTGCAGCACCCGCCTAACACATCAGATCATGAACGAATCTTAAGCTATCAAACCGATCATTGAGAGATTGATATCATTTGCAACTACAGGCCTGCCTCACTGAGTTCTTCAAAATCGAGACACTTCTTCATGAAATCAAATATTCTCAATACAAACTGTTAAACCTCACGGTCATGAAACCATAAGTCCAGCAAGAATTTATATTCTCGGCGCTTTTCATATACTGGTGTGCGTTATACTACCAGGCGATGACTCTCAGAAGTAGTGGTAAGTCATTGATTATATGTCGCAGAATGTTGTAAATATCTAACTCCGTAAGGGAAATACTTGAGTAGCAGCGCTGAAAGTACAGGTTGAGCTATGTGTAAAATAATTAGGTGATTTAAGATGAAAGATACCTTGAGAATCTTTCATATATTATGATTAACTATTCTAGCATTGTAATGGAATCTCAAGGCTGGGTGTTACTAATGATGTTTATACCTAAAAACGAGAGCCGTGAGTTTGTGAGATGCTGCGAGAGAAATTGCTTTAAATGCTTCTAGCAAGGGTGGAAATCAATGCAGATTGATGAGATGATATATCTTGAGTGATGGGAAGGATTAGGTAAGTCGTTGGGTTTTACATATGTATTGAGTTCTCTGGTATTTTTAGGTTTGTTTCACAGAACTCCTTGTCTGCGTCTATTGTTGTGGCTATGTTCCTGAACTTCGAAGAGAGAGGTGAGGTGGGAACGTTTAGGAGACAGAAGATTGGTGCGACGGTTCAATTTGATATGCAAAGTCTATTTGTTGAAATTTTGTGAAAAGATTAGGACATTTGAGGGGTTCTGAGTGTTACATTGTTGTTGGACCTGTATTCATGAATTATGGGTGGAATATATATCACTTTTTAGTTATCATAGGAGAAACAACATTTCTCTAAATTATAGTTGTCAAAACCTCACGATTATCAATTGCTTTTAAATGGATAACATTGATATTCATTCAAAGTTACTGTCTAACGTGGAAAATCATCGCGTTTTCTGAAACCTTCAGTATCCCTTTCCCGTCCCCCAATGGCTCGAATTCATTGAACAATATATCCTTATCCGAAAGTCATCCGTCACAATTTTGACTCTTCAACTCCAAAGCAACTTATTTCCTATTCAATACACGACTTAAAATATCATTCATCTCAAAAACACCTCTCTCCTTGCGTTCTGCAACCGCTACTTCCGCAGCAACCAAATCTTTAGGAGACGTTGACAGGAAAAACTTCTCCGCGGTTTCCATATCATCCATATTGATATCTCTAGTCATCGTCTTCCCATTACAGTCAGCGCACGAATCCCCAACCAGCACAAACGGTCCGATCCAACCTCGTGTCCATCCTATGAGTTTCTGAATACATAAATTCTCTCCGCATTGATCGAGAATATCTCCATTTTCCAATCCCATGACGGTACCCGGTGTCCAGCCTGCAGAATCTTCTTTTCCTGGAGTGATCATCCAGCTCACAAGATCGTCTTGTAGATTGGCTGTAGTGTTTGCTCCCTGTGCTATAATGGGGGCAGGGAGCGGAACGTCATAACCATGACATTCGTGACAGATTTCGCAGACAATACAGGTGTCGCAGTAGGGAACACATGGGTTCTGAATGATAGCAGGACAGGGACACCAAAAGACTTGAGGATTCTCCCTGTTGGGTGGAAAATAAAGTGCGAGTTTGTGTTGAGGTGTAGGACGAGCGACATGTTTTGAAATATGGGAGATGCAGAAACCCAAGTGCTGGCTTCGGCAGAATTCAGAACAGTAGTATTCGAGATCAGTGCATTCGCAGACAAGTCCTTGGCATGTAATGGATGTGTTACAAGCTCTGCATGGGACTGGACCGTTGTTTGTGGTGAGCTTTGTGAAGTTGGGTCGTATGAATATTACCATGTTGGGGTGATCAAGAACTGACCAGCCGGATGGTGTTGACATTTTGATAGATAGGGTTTCGAGTTTGTATTTGGATAGAAGTTGTTGGGTGAGAGTTCTCTATCGGATGGTATGGTGTGGTATGGTATCGTATCTGAATAGCACCTTGCAATTTCGATGGAAAGTGAAAGATGGTATGATTGTTGTTAATTGGATGAGAAGACTTTAGGTTTGGAAGTTGAAGTTTCGACAAGAATAAGAAGTGGTGGAGTGTTAGGATACTTTTAAGTATTCAAACAGTCTGGAACCAGTCTCCAGGACGACCGTATCTATATTGTATGGCTTTCTTAAGCACGCTAGTGCAAGTATGACAGATGATATTGAGTGAATATATTACCGTAAATAAACATGGGACCGTAGTAGAAAGGCTGAAGTAAAGATGGTACGTTCACCTTGCTAAATATTAACCCCCTTGGGTTCACAGTATACCAGGAATGTTGAGCAAGGTGTATACTGATAAATTTCAAGATAAAAGAGACTCTAGATTATTGCCCAAAGTATATTTAACAATCCGATGTTTTATTTGAGGCTCTCACTCAGGGTTTCATTCGGTAGTTGTTGATACTACATGGAGGTTCGGTTGAAAACCGTATCACGCTCAGAATATAATTGACTCCAAACTGTCTTCGTTTCGAATCGCTAAAATTGAGATGAAACATACATATTTTACAGTAAATTCAGCGGGTTACTTGACATTAGTCTACTTGTGGTAGCACTCTATCACACACGGTACTAGGTGCATTCGTTGAAGTTGTATCAAGTATGTGATATTTGATATTATCATGAAACGGTGATGCTACGAAGGAACTATGTGGGAACTAGAAGAACTCTAATAGCCCGAACACTGATGCAAGTGACGTAGCTACTACGGTACCTAGGACATGTTTCCCAGTGCTTCTAAATAAACCAATCAAACAGAAACCAGGGGAATGTGAAAGACAGTATGAGATATTGGTATGAGCTTCAGTTGATTCATCAAATACCCTTAACTTTGCAGTCCAAAACAACAAGCTGGACATTCATCTAGGTGGTTAAGACATCTTCATTTTGCGATCTTATGTGTAATAGTAGAAAAATGGTGTCGTAAAAGTCTCATGGCGTCATGTTTCATATTGTTGTCTTGTGTATCTAGCAGCAATTTTCCATCATGATAGTTCTTGAATATACTTCGCCATTCTTCGTTGCATCATGCGTCCATTGTAATTGTATCAAACCAATTACCGCCTACCCTTTCTACCCTTCAGTCTTTCTAGCTGGAGGCCTTGCTCAAATGAACATATCAACAGTCTTTCACTATCTCATCATTGATTTTTTATGATACTGGTGTACCATAATAGTGATCTTTCAACTTGCACTGAGCAGCAAAAAAAGACGTAGATTGTCGAGATGGATTGGCTATCCTTGACTCTTTTAGTCGGGCATTAGAGTTGAAGGAACTTCCCCCCTCCCTCCTCTCCTTCTTCTCACATCGCTCTTGATTAAGTAGTAAACCAAGTTCAAGATGTCCCAAGTTTAACTTTACTGATTAGCCTACGAGTTCGATAGTTTTCTATGTCTGTTTGAAGAAGAAACCCTGTATGGCGCTTTATCTTGTAACACGGCCTACACAGCAGCAAGAATACGCGTCCTTTAACAGGGAAGCGAAAGATCGTTTCATACCTAGGGTATCTATAACGAGCTCTTGATTCGAGGAAACCTCATTGCGTTCATTAATCCGCTCAATCACTATAAGGCTATTATATTGTGTGCGTAGATGTTGTAGATATATCTAGTCCTTCGCTCATGAGCAACGTTTCAAAAGCCCCAAAGCCCGCACTCTTCTCTTCCTATTAAGCTACTATTACTAGCCCAAGAATCGATAGCAGGCGAAGCAGAAGTTGCGGGGCGATGGCTCAGCGATTTCGCAATTGCGAGTTTGAAAGTACCATGGATTATGTTCTTAGACGTTTTCGAAAGAGGTCGTGTACGGGAATGTCCCACCATAGCAGCTTTCTGTCAACGGAAGTTCTCAATTATAGTTGCTGCAAGGAATTTTTTTAAGGAATATACTGCAAAAAATAATATCACGGTCAATTATACTCTCAATCTCAACAATGCTGCAAGACAATCCCTATAGACGATTCCACCTCGATGAATACCGCTAATACTAATATCTGTTGCACTAGGCTTAGATAAAAGTCCTGGGACTTGTGGCTCTGCATGATAAAGTAAAGCACAGTTCAGCGAGAAAATACTGACTGATTCTTGGTGTAAGAAACTACCCCCCAGAACACTGACCTTGCCGCATTGCTCTTTAGGATGACATATCTTGGTATACTAGATTATGAGTTGATAACGGCTTATTAGTCTAGGCTCTCGGTTCTATCGGATTGCCAATTCGATCGTTTCAGCCATCGCCGTAACAAATGGAAGGAAACTTGGAGAAGGTATTCAACGCTCAGAACTTCAAGGTTATCGCCTAAGGTTAAGATATAATTGACTTCAAATATGACGGATCGCCTTCAATTGATGGTTGATGATAGAATATTGGCAATATTCCATCATGCTAATTTCCTGGAATGGCAATGCAATGAGTGTTCTAAAGACCTGTTACTTCCGAATCTTATGTAGGCGATAGCTAAACTGAAATCACTGCATTCGTAGTGAAATTCATATAGGAAACTATTCGCAATCTAGCGCTTCTATTTCGCAAACTGAAGAGGACTGGCATAAGAAATTCAGTACTCCGCACAGGCTGGATAAGACAGCAGCCATGTTCGAGTGGAAGGAAGATATATGGACATGAAGTATTGAGGCAAAAGGCTATTCATGCTGAAAGGAGTTTCGATGAGGCAGAGGCCGGTATTATGGAACAATGATGGTTTAATAAGAGAAAGGTGGGTGCAATAGTTTACATTATGGGTAGTGACCTAACTTCCTCCTCTAGCTATGATAATAAGGATAACACAACCGTCGGAAGGCGGTTTACAGGCTTATAATGTATTCCAATCATAGCTGTGAAGCTGATCACACTCTTATGACACTGATGCTAGCTTAAGCCATTTCTTTTGCGGTGCGAGTCTGTATGATGTAAGATTGTTGACCTTCGGCAGCTCTCATTAGAATGGTTTGAAGAGTAAAGCAAATCGAAGATCAAACCCTGAATATTCACGATTTTGTTGGATTTGATATACATTGGCTGTTGTATTGATGAATCTATCACTAATCAAGTGATCTCGGCGATCTACCAAATTCATGACGTCGCTTACATAATCACCCACCTCTCCGACGAACGCCCTCTTCTTGACAACTTCAGTTGTCGTTCTCAGAACAACAGTTGCACATCTCATCACTCTCCATATACAAATACTTCAATAGAGATTTCGAAACTTTTGCATACTTCTTGATATTGCTCTTTGAATCATTCTGAGAATTGCACAGTGTTGATTGTGCGGGGTGGTATTCTTATTTTTGGGTTCGTCGGCTTGAAATGGACGAATTGAGTTGTTGTAGTGTTCTAACGATATGATCAGTGTTTACCCCTGAACCCCTTTAATCCTCGGATTACCGACTAGCTTTCAAAATGCCTGCCATGCTCGATGACCCCAGCGCTCCCACAATCTACCGTGCTTCTGGGTCCGCGCCTTTTCCAGATCCTCACGACACTAACCCCGCATTGCCCCTCGATGTCTTCCCTCGACAGGTTACTCTACGTGATCGAGTGACAGTCGCTACAATCGTGCCTTTCGCGTCACAAAACCGGGTTCCTCCCTCGCTTCTCGCATATCTCAGTGACCAATTCAAAAAGGAAGTCGAATTGGGTGACACATATCCTATGCTTGATACTATGCCACGAGAGAAGTTTGCTTCTTATTGGTTTCAAAACTTTGGTGCAGTAATGCTCCTTGGTAATATCGAGTCCGCAGATGAAGTAGTCGAAGGCAAAAATTGGGCTACAGAATGTCTTGGTAGTTATTATATAAAGCCCAACTATCCAGGACGTAGCTCCCACATCTGCAACGCCGGATTTCTCGTCACAGACGCTGCACGAGGCAGAGGTGTTGGGCGTCTACTTGGTGAAAGCTACCTCCACTGGGCTCCACTTCTCGGCTACACATACTCGGTTTTCAATCTCGTATATGAGACAAACGTAGCTTCTTGTCGCATTTGGGATGCATTAGGCTTCAAGCGTATTGGGCGTGTCAAAGGTGCAGGAAATCTCAAGAGCTATCCAGGGCAATTCATCGATGCTATTATATATGGGCGGGATTTAGGGCCTGATGGCTCCGACTTCGTGAGTGAAGAACGCTTCGATAAAATCAAATTCTACTTGAAACATAAAGAATATCCATTGGGTGCTGATCGCGCGGAAAAAAGCAGACTTCGTAGCGCCGCCACACATTACAAACTACTACCGGACGAGGATAAGCTCATGTTGAAAGGGAAGGAAGTCATCAGTGACCCGCAAAAACAATACGAGATTGCGAGGGGTATACATGTACTGCAACATGGTGGAATCAACAAAACCACAGCTATGATCGCCGAGAAATATCACTGGATTAGAATCAAAGAGACGGTTAGTCTAGTAATTAAGAACTGTGGAGAATGCAAAGAACTGGGCAAGGCACCAGTTGTCAAACCGGATTACCAAGCTCAGCTAGCCCGTCAATCTCCTCGCAAAAGTCAAGATGTAACAGATGCAAACATACTATCTTTGCCCGAGCAACAACAACTCAACCACCATCGAGATCTTCATCATCAACAACATCACCATGATCAGCAACCACAACCTTCCCATTTGCAGCATGACTTCCAGCAAATTCAACACCACCATGACCACACCAGTACATCTGTGTCACCTCAAGTCCTTAACCGCAGACTACCATCCCACTCTCCCCATCCTCACAGTAATCCCATTATCCACCTCAAACAACATCAACCACCTATTTCCCAAATGCAACTTCATCACGCAGAAACTCGTACACAATCTCAAGCTCGGGCTCAGGCTCAAGCTCAAGCTCACTCCCAATCTCATGCCCCATCGCATAGACATTCTGCAACAGATTACCTACAAATAGATCCTCAAATCATGGATTACACACATGCATCTCATTCCCCGCATCCGCATTTTGACGCGCACCATGAACATGATACGGATTCTTTTCAGGCGATGTTGGAAAACAGGGATGTAGATGTGGATGGGGGTGTTGGGGATGGGGGCACCGGCGTGGATGGAAACCTTGACGATATGCTTGTGGATCAAGATGAAGTAGATGTAGAGCATATCGGAGATATAGGCACCGTGGATAATAATACCGGGAATGATATGAATACTGACGAGACAATAAATGGTTCGATGGGAAATGGAAGACACAAATCTCATGATGATGTTATGGCTACGGCGAGATTGGCGCAGGAAATGATTTCGAGGGGGGTGATGGATGGGAATGGGGGATGAGGGTGTTAAGTAGAGGGCCATCGATGAGTTTGAATACCGTATTATTCGATAAGAAAATGATGGATAATCGTTAATGAGATGGAGACGAAACCGAGTTTCGAGATGCATACCGTCTGTCACTGGCTGACGACAAATACGAGAGCGGCATGCCAAGGACCATAGTTAGTACTAGCGGCCTCTCGTTGAATGTTGGATCGTTAATGTCGGGGGTACATCGTCGATAATCCACAACATGCTTTGCAGGTCATGTCTTGATGTTGTGGAAAGCATCATGTGCATCTAATCCTGATATGAATTAGCGTAGGATGTGTTTACACAAGAGATACATATTCTAGTAGACATATTTTATGGTCGATAACAATGATATCACAAATCAGAGAACAGCTGTGTTACTGCAAAATTGGAGACACGAGAGGTCTAGTTTGCAAATAGGTGACACCTTGGAACAGACACCACTAACCAATCACAGAAATGCCAAAGTAAATTTCATCACCAAATTCATAAATTCAGACATAAGCGAGGGTTTGAACTTTTGAATTCTAAAGTGCAAGTATGTACTTGCCATACATCTAGCACTATTATATCATATCATAGAATAGTCATCTACACGTCGAAATTCTGCTTGTCCTTAATTTCCTCTGCATCATTCATGAATCATGATCCCTCTCTACCATTTATCGCTTATCTTCTTGGCATGCCTCTTCCTCTACCTCTCAATGCTCTCTGGGCTGCTCCCGGAGGCAAGCCTCTTTGTGGAGCTTGTGGTTGTTGACTCTCTTCATTCTTAATGGTCTCGTCTACGCTCAAAATCAAACAACTAGCTTCAGTTGCTGCTTGAATAGCATTAACCTTGACCAACGCTGGTTCCCAGACGAAAGCCTCCATATTATCTCTAATACCTTCACCAATGAAATCAACACCAGCCCATATGTTTCCTTTTCTGTGTTCCACGCGGAGCTTGTTAAGGATATCTGTAGCATCGAAACCGGCGTTGTCGCAAAGTTGACGAGGAATGACCTCGAGGGCTTTAGCGAAGGATTTGATGATTGCTTGTTGCTTGTTGCGGATATTGTTGTCGGCATAGTGATGGAGATAAGCTGATACTTCCATTTCACAAGCTCCACCTCCAGCAACAATTGTGGTGTTCTTGATGGCGCGCTTGACGATCATGATAGCATCGTGGAGGGAACGCTCGACTTCGGCAATGAATTGCTCAGCACCTCCACGGAGAACTAATGTGCAGGTCTTGGCAGCTGGGCAATCTTCGAAAAAGTTGAAACGTTCTCCACCAATTTGACGTTCTTCGAACGAACCGCAGGTTCCGAGGTGCTCTGGTTGAATATCGGAACAAGTAGATTGAATGGATCCTCCTGTAGCTTGAATGATGCGTTCAAGGTCATCAGATCCTACACGGCCGGCACAGAAAATATCTCTATCCGCGAAATACTGAGTAGCAAGATCACCAATTGGTAGCTTGGAAAGGACAATCTTTGCGCCAGTCTTGTATAGAGCTTCCATCTTGTTGTAAATAATTTGCCATTCAGCATCGACAATAGCCTGGTATTCCGAGACTTGCTCGACACGAACTTCTGCGTTGTCTTTCTCAGACTTAAGCTCAAGTTCAACATTTAAGCACACAATCTTGGGGTTTTTGAAAGATTTTGGTTGTTGTTCGAATCCGGCGTATGCAAAGGTCTTTTTGAATGCAACACCGTTAACAAACAGTGAGTCGGTAAGGGATCCACCTGGAATCTTCTTCATGCCAATGAGTTTCTCGTTCAAATCGTCCTGATCTAATGTCATAACCGCATCAACGACCACTATATGTTGTTAGCTATGTCTCACTACAACATTTTGGAGCCATACTCTTTGTGAAGAATCCGGTATTTCTCTTAATCAGCTTACTGCTCATGGCAGTACCGGCCAATTTAATGAGAGTTTCCCTCTGGTTACCCTCACTTGTATTGACAGCGATCTCCTTTATTTTATTGACGGCCATCGTAGAGGCTCTTCGTAAACCCTTAATGATAGTCTGCGAGCTGACTCCCTGTTCGACATGGTCCTTTATTTCCTTCAAGATTTCACCTGCCAAAACAACGACGGATGTTGTTCCATCTCCTACTTCGGCATCTTGTGATCGAGAGATATCGGTAAGAATTCGTGCTGCGGGGTGAACAACGTCAAGTAACTACGCCCAGAAATCAGTTTATGAGTTCTAGCTATACCAAATTCATAGAGTTTTCTGCCGAGAGGCTTACCTTCATAACAGTAGCACCATCATTAGTGATAGTTTGTCGTCCATTCTCATCCACAAGTAATAAATCCCCACCATATGGTCCTAAAGTACTTCTTATTGTGTTTTGAACAGCTAAACAAGCATTGATATTGCTAATGATCTGTCCTTTTCCCTGAGAAGAATCTGTGCCTATATTATACACTTCTGTCAGTATACTATGTGGTCAAACCAATATCTGGGTTACTGACCCTCTTTCAGCACAATAATGGTTGGAGTCTGGCCACCGAACGACATTTTGCAAGAGACTCTGTTTATGATACAAATTAAGAAGACGCCTGAATCACCGAATAGTCGCAATGCTGGGTATGTAAGAGAGCGTTGCTAGGGTATGAAAAGAACTCTCAAAGCTTTGCTGCCGCTACCTGATCAATTGTAGTTCAACTTTTTTCGCGTCGCGATTTTGCTATCATATTATTTGTCGGTGTCCGTAATCTCTTACACGTGAGATAAGTTCTGCCACACTACATAGTGCCACTGATATTTCAGCCACCCCCACTAGACCAACATCTACCGGTGAGCAGGGCTGTCTTATGACCTCTCAATTCATTTTATTTTACCACGGACTCACTGGGGAACAGTTCCCACCGAGCTTTGTTTGAAAATTGCATTTCGCATCCATTCCAATCTCACACAACATATCACACTATCAGCGCCAAATTGTTTCCCTGGATTTCTTCCTATGTTCTTCCTCAGGAACTAGAGCTAAAAGCAACTTCAATATTACCTCCACGAGTAGTGATCCTTCAACCTTACGTACCTGATTGAAGTCAAAACATATTCATGCATATTGCAAATTATCACACCCTCATCACTTCGTAACGGATTCATCTCATCTTATAAGATAATAGTGTGAATATCTTCACCATGCTCAACATCTACATAAATCGCCACCGCCACTGCCACAGCAGCCTTCCCCATCCTTCATCCTACTTATCCTAAGCCTAGACAACCTTAATCAACATTGATGTGCCGTCTAATTTGTCTCTCGTTGCGCGAGAGCGTCCAAGGTCATAGCTGGACCTACTGTGTCTCCCAAATAAGGTCCTCAGCCTTTCCCGTCGTCCTCTGTCTAACATCCTGACATGATATATGGTGAACCACTCCTATTCCTGGATTGGTTCGTCGCGGGGTAGCGCAATCCTTCTTCTGTACCCTCCACTTGACGTTCTATAGGTCCCGAAAAGCGAATGAAAGTTCTGTATGACAAACCTTGAAGTCATTACACACATTCGGGCATTGTCCACTAGGTCTTCAAGAACAGCTTACCAATAGCTATCGGTAGATATCTCATTCGCGGTTTTAGGGCTGTCCGAACCGTCGAATCATAATTCGGTATCCCAAGGCTGAAGAGTCGGCAAAGCTTGAAGAAGTACCTATACGACGTTTTCATGCGCGTCAATGTTCTGAATGCCTCAATCGGCAATTGTGATGGCTTCGCAATTAATAACTCGTCACTGCTGACAATACTGTTCTCGAGCTGAAAAATCGGATTTGGGCCACGGAATAATTTACGTCCTTATCCGCCTTACAGCCGGCAGATGTTTGAGGGATGCGAAATCTAGATACTGTCTTCTGGCTATCGATATAGCACGGCATGCATAGCCCTTGCGATGTCATGTGTCAAAGGTACGATCCAAAGCTCCTACGAAGTACACCGCTAGCCCATTCAAGAACATCCTTTAATTTATTTCAACTCGTCGATCAACAATCTAGAAGAGTTACATAGAAAGATGTTACTTTACGAACGTAAGGAATACTGTAATCCAGACCAAAAATTTATGTACGTAAGGATAGCTTCTGTGCTCATGTGGATGCAAGTGATGCTCAGAATCTCGATGTAGCGGTAGGGTTGCAGCCGCTGCAGGGACGCGCGACCAAAACAGCCTTATTTGCGTCGTGCAATATCGCAAGGCTGGGTTTAAATGTGATCACACATCGTGTAGAGGCCAATGAAGACACCGCAATGCGACTTTTGCGTTAGTCACTAATATAAGCGCATTCTACATTCAAGGAGCGAGGCTGAATTCTATAGTTGCGACCCCTGTAATCAAGGGAAGTGGCCATTTGTCGCTAGATACAAATCCCTCGTTAGAGTCACGCTGTCGCGACACAGTTGCTGAATCTGAGAGTTGACTCAAGGGTCAACGGCTCCCCCGAGATATGAGAAATGCTGTGGGTACCTGATATAATGTCTTGGGTGGTACGAGAAGTAGTTTCCGCAATCAGTGTGATGCGTACAATCTCATATACCGAAAGGAAATAAACTGTATAGACAATGGCTACAATTGCGAGAAAGAAAACTTGGAGACCAACATCCCAAACTAGCAGTCTTACTTGCCGGTTAGTTTTTCTACATCAAGTTATCTTTTCTATGTAATCAGCACACAAGAGAAAATTCAAAGTTGGGTCGCTAATGGAGCCTTAGAATTCGCCGTGTCAAATGTGCAGAAGAGAGACCGGCGTGCCTTCGATGCTCGAAGACTGGACGTAAATGCGATGGCTATGATTCTGATGGTCCAGAGATGTCGAGTTCCCCACCTACACGAAGGGATAGTGAGGCTTCTTCGTCGACTGATAGTTCCATCGTGAGTCTTACCACAAGCATAGTCGAAATGCCTTCTCCGGTCATTGAATGGGATGAAGAAGAGCGAAGAAGCGTCAATTTTTTCATCACCAAGACAGCACCGAAATTAGCGGGTAATCTTGAATCTAAATTCTAGACCAGTCTCATTTTGCAGAGGTGTTACTCGGATCCGCCCATCCATGCAGTCATTGCTTTGGGAGCCTTCAACACGTCCTTTAAGTTCGGCGACATCAAACTACTGCAAGCGGGAGTGACTGCTGATCCGAAGCAACGATTCGCCCTGTTACAGAATATAAAAGCCATACGTTACTTGACGGGTCATCTCTCGCATGGAGGGCACCGACAATCTTCAGAAGTAATTCTGATATCTTGTATTTTGTTCATTTGCTTCGAAGCAATGCAAGGGAACTACCAAGCTGCATTTGCTCACCTAAACAGTGGTTTAAAGATTCTAAACGATTGGATGGAGAGAAACGGGCAAAATCCCCTCACTCATTCAAAGTCAAGCGTGGGTCGAGATATCATCCGCTCGGAACTAGTACCTTAATTCGGAGCTCTAGACATCCAGACAATCAGAATACTTTTCAACTAGCTCTATTTAATGGTAATTGACGAGCGGGACCACGAAATTTGATTTCAGAACCCAGACTAACATACCAAACCCCATTTCGTCGCTGAATGAAGCTAAATTTCATCTACAAAACCAGACCCACGCAATGTTGGTGTACCATCAGAGTGCAACACAGCATTATAGCCCAGAGATGGCAGATAATTATGATACTCTACAATCAATCAGCCTGAATGCTATCGTGGAAGAAAAGAGTGAGCGAGTTCTGCAGCTTGAGTAGTGGTCCAGAGTCTTCAACAACTTTGCACAAGCAGCAGGTCAAACAATGACTACAAACGATCTACAAGCATCAATATCCCTGAAACGTCATCATGTCGCCAACAAACTAATTCTCGAAGCGGCGCAGTTCGGGACTGAATTGGACTACGATCGATATATGGATCAGTTCGAGCTGATGACTTCACTAGCCGAATCTCTTCTCAAATCGTACGGTAATTCAAGGCTGGAAAACGGACGGTTGTTTTCTTTCGATACTGCAATAATCCCACTGTAGCTTTGTGTGGCAACCAAATGTCGTGATCCTGTGCTTCGCAGGAGAGCACACGCTCTTCTGGTCGGCTCATTCAAACGAGAAGGTGGTTGGGATAGTAACTTGGCGAGTAGTATTGGCAGATGGACTATAGATAAGGAAGAGAAGGATTTAGAGAATATTTCGAAAGCCGAGGAAGTGGTGGAGTCATCTCGGATCGCAGTAACGGAAATAACGTCCCTTGGACGATGAAAGGCATTAGTCAAATTTAGACAAGGTCCTCTTCGAGATGATGGAGATGAAGAGCTTCAGGAGGAATGGATTGTAGGGTGATGGTGTGTATTTGTAGTCATAAGGACTCTGGTAGTTCATTGAGACTGTATATTCTGAATATAATTATTTGGATCGTTGAAAACATTATTCTTTTTACAAATTTCCAGTGGATTCTATACCTCTAAACGCTACAAAGCCTGATTGCCAATGAATTCAGCTTCTTTTCTTCTTCTCTTTCGACGCAGGTGTTCTTTTTGGCCGCATATGAGGAAGAGCAAGATGAGACTACCCAAGACGCAAACCCAAGAGCCACATTCTCGAATAACGAATACATTGTGATGACTCTCTAGAAAATGAACCAAAGCGACAGGATGAAAACCCCAAGAATAATTTTTCGAGCAAGGGGGTAAGGCTTGGCCTCGAATCAGGGAGCAACGGTTGGAGTATGCATTCGATCTTCAGATACCCATTCAGCCAACCCTGCAATCCCTCGGTTCATTCGCCATCGACCCCTTTGTTCACCAACAGCCTCTCGCGCCATAACAGTGATGGATATCTTGATGTGTGTCTAGGTAGACATTGTTACTTCTTCACTTATTGATATGAAATAATTATAACCACTCAATTCTAATTAAACCTCGGTGCCAAATTCGGATCTCTGAGCAAAAAGTCTTAACAGCAGATTAAGCTAAAACAAAAGCTCATTCATTTTGTTGGCTTACTGCGTTCAAGTCTTGAGAAGTAGGGTCTTAACACCATTTATACATTAGTCTTTTCAATCCCGAGTATATTTTATGGTTTTCACATTACTCTCATCGCCCCATAAATAAATTTCACAAAGAAGCATTCAGCAAAGATGCCTGGTGTAAAAATATTAATTCCCACGTCAAATTACGGCCATGATCAAACAGGTAATATATTCCTCCCACACAGAACTCCAAACATCCTAAGAAATCATTCCTATCTCTTTCCAAACCACACCATTTATACCATATACTAAACTCCCATCCCAGAAACCGCAATCCTATGCACCGTCTTCACCAACGCCAGATATACCGTCCACTTCGCCACCGAAAACGGTGCTCCCCCAGCCTGCGATCGTAAAATGCTCGAGGGAATCACTCAGAAGCTTCTCGGCGCAACTCAAGAAGCCATCACCGCCTACAAACAAATGTCCCAGACACAGGAATTCAGCACCCCTGTTTCCTAGTCTTCCTCTTCCTTTTCTCTCGACCCCTACAATTTAGCATCTTTGCCCGGCGGCCACGAGAAAAACGTGTGTCAATTGATTGATCCTGATATTATGCATTGATATCTACTTTCCTATTGGAAAGGAGTTGAGAAGCCGGGAACAAACATATCGGGGCTGTGTGTCACGGTGTGATGGTTTTGAGTGAGACTTTAACGGCGGGGGATAAATCGATTACTCATGAGTGTGATACGACGGCTCTTCCGGGGATGTGGGATGGAGCGGCTTATTGGGGTACGAGATGGGTGTTGGGGGATTATCATAAGACTTATGGGGCGGAGAGTGAGAAGGGTAGAGGTGAGTGTTAGGAAGGGGTTGGATGAGCGAGAGAGGCAGTGGAAACATTATTTGGGGTTGAAGCCGTGAGTTTGGGTTTTTTCTTCTATTCTTTCATTTCCCTTTTCTGTTTTATGGGATATAGAGGGTCGAGACTGATGAGAAAATAGATTTGTGGTAGAGCATGAGAAGTATAATTACACTAGTGGGAGGTGGCCTGGAGATGCCCATTTATCGGCGGATAGGATTGTGGAGTTGGTTAAGAAGAATACAGATGATTGAGTTGTGATATGGTATGGAATGGAACGGATTGATATGTGCTTTTTTCATTTTCGAAATTCCAATGGAAGACGCTGTTTACCCAGAGCTAGCTAGTATTGATATTAATTGGAAGCATCGGAATGATCAGCGGGTGCAACTATCAGTGCTTTCGGCATGCGAAGGAGGGGCAGATCGGGACCTCACCCGGGAACTAATTCTCAGGGTCCATTAGCGTATGCATATGCCAAGTCTAAGCTTCTGTATACTCGAAGTGCGTACTGCGGCCAGTTGTACAGACAAGCTCCTTCATCACGTTGATATACTCGCATTTTTACTACTCTAGATCCAAAATGGTTGCCTCATCTCTTGATTTGTTATACGGTTTTCACTATTAAAACTCAGAAAATCCAACATACCCTACAAAGAGATTAAACTCCGTAAAGTCCGCAAACCCCAATATTACTCCAGTAGTACTCTGAAGATATCCCAGCAATTATATACCCAAGTGAATCAGAATTTGAACGACAAAGGAGAACCTAGAAGTGCCAGCACCTCACAAAGTCTCCTTATCAATAATATCCTCATTCTCTCCCGTAGCACCCTCCTGCGAGTCTTTCAAAGGACTATCAAACAATCCCATCAACATCTTCCTGTACAACCTACTATCCAGAAACTCCCTATCGATATCCTCATATGCAGCCACTCCTCCTCTTCCCCATATGTTCTTACACATCTTCGCAATACACGCATCTCCACTGACGCCTGCGCTCCATCTTTGGTTTAATGGTAATCCGTTTCCTTCAGGCGTGTATAGTAACATGTATGTGCCAATCAAAGCATGGTCTGTTGAGTCTTTGACCCTACCCAGAGAGGAATATTTCTGTATACGAGCGTGCCAGGCATCTCCATCGCCCCAAAATGAACGCATATCAGGGATATGCGAGAGATGGTTATCTCTGAGTCCTTCGAGACGGATATCTATTGTGCGAAGTTTGAGAAGGATGGGTCGTGTGCCCGCTTGAGGTAATAAGAGGACAGTGATAGAAGTAGTTTCAAATCTTGGAGAAGCAGGAGGACTTGTAGAGAAAACTTTAGTGAAGATGCCAAGGCGGCTTGAACTGTTTCCTCGATGATGCTGTGGCGGTTGAGGTGGAGGCTGAGGTGGAGCATCTGATTCTGAAGGAATATGAGGTGTCTTGGCTTGGCTTATGATAAATTCGGTCTCATTTTCTAAAGCTTCGTAGCGTTTTGCAGTCTCAGGCTCATGTTCATGAGTCGGAGGTGGACTGTAGATCCCCGAAAGAAGAGGAACCCGTTGTTGAATTGCTAGCTGAGCACGATAACTTTCGCTGGCTGACATGTTGAACAAAAGATCTTGTATTCAAGGCTATCTTCTGTACAAGTAGAAGTGTTATGTAGACAGAGAGGTAAGGCTTGGCTGCCGTGGATGGCGAGAACTACCTAGGGATTTCGGGTAACAACAGTTGCGATAACGTTGACTTTAGCCAAATCAAGGATGCCGAGTACAAGAAGATGGGAAGAAGTACCGGTATTCTTGCCCAAGTGCAAAAGCTTTGCGGGGTTGTGAACTGCAAGGTAGTTTCCACGGCGGCAAGATCCAGTGTGTATCAACCAATCATAACACAGACGCTCGTACCAACAAAACCACTTGGGGCGGATACCTAGTAGTTCGAGACTGTTAACCAAAGGTTAAGAACTGATTGAAAGACTAGAAACATAAACCAAAACCACAGCACTTGGGTAGTGGCCATTTAATGGGACATTGCAACGGGATCTGAAAGGAATTATCGTAGTTTGTGCATTATTGATTTCTGATCGGAGTGATAACGATTGAAGGCTGCCAAACTTGGCTCGGACGATCCCATGCAAATTTTGAAGGTGCAGTGATAAGTTAGGTTACAACCAGCTGCCTTTGCGAGCCTAGGTTGAGGGTATTCCCGAACCCATTCTGCAGCAAGGTTTTGCTGCAAAGCCATCACTTTTCTTACTCTGCACATGATGCTCCTATCAGGAAGCGCAGAGTCTTCCGGGAGTTTGGTTATGTTATGGATAAGATCCAGATAAGGTAGCTAATGCACAATCCTTGTGAGTTGAATCCTCTTTTTTTCGAAACATGACCAGTTCATAGCTCCCGAACAGAGTGACAGGGCTTGTGTCACGTCACAATTGCAAGAGTACTCTCTCTGTAGTGCCGCCGGGTATATGGAGAGTGATTCCTTCTAGTCCACCGTCATGGCTATGCCAATCAATTCGATTTGTTTTGTAAGAGATTCTTTCGTGTCTTAATTTGTTCCTTTCGAAAAACTATTCACGCAACGTAGTGAAATCTTACTATCATATCTGAAACAGCCAGATAAAACACCCTTATGTTCCGCCGTAGCGTCAACAGGCGCTTACGACCTTTATAACGGGCGCAACATAATCTCTGTGAATTCTTTCCTGTCTTGCAAACCGTCTTTGCATATTTAATTTGATCCTTGATGCATAAATCGCGTCCCAAGAACAAGTCGTTGGCGCAAAGCTTAACAGCGAAATATGGTGATCGTCTTCTGGATGCAAAAGAAATTGGGAAGTGTGGCCCGAAGAGGGTTCGTTCCCGACACAAACATCGACAGTGACGATGAGTAGACAAAGATTCGGGAAACAGTGACGAATGATGTTTTCTGCCTCGCATTTTGCATTTAAGATAGATGTTCGAGAAATCACTAAACTTTCTACAGACTCAAAAATGTTCGGTAGAAGCACCCTACAATTTCCACTCTTAACATAGTTCACATTCCGCAGCCAATAACCTTGGACAGAACCAAAGTTGAGATCTTTGAGAAACAATGAATTGACGACAAAGTTGATAGGAAGTGAGTTATATCTCGAATGTTCAGAAGATCGGTACCGCTTGAAAACCTCTTCCCTGGATTCGATGCAGGTTGAAAGAAGAGGGTGCGGGGTTGTATTGCGAAAGCGCCATGACGATGATCGCTGCTGCGGGCTGGATGCTGTATTCATGGAAGTCAAAAGCTCAAGCTCTACTACATGAGGCTCTTGAAAAGCAAACGTCCAAATCTGAGCGCGGAGTTCAAGTGGTAAATTGCGAAAAAGTGAAAAGGTCGTCAACTTTGGTAAAGATGATCCATCCAAGATGCTGTGCGGGCATATATCGATAGACTGAATGTATCTAGATGCAATGATGCGACGCATACTCCGCGTGATTGGGACGTGCTCCGCGACGGAGGTCTCTGACGAATGTTTATAGGTATTCATCTCGAAGGATATACCCAGATGCAAGCAATGCAACGGTCTTGACAATTGAGTGTTATCAAATGAAAGACTTTATTTCCAAAGAGACTTTTAAAAGGAAACATGAAGTTGTGACCTAGGTAATATTAGGAGAGCAACAACTTGAGGTCAACCAACATCCAAGTGGGCCTTCAAAGTTGAGCTGGAATTGCGCGCGTAACGAGACCATCCTTCATAGAGTCTTAATTCGACTTCAAAAGCTCAACAGCCCTCGATGAGAACGGTAAAGCAAAGTTGGAAGGTTCTTCATCATCGCTGTTTCTATTCGTTCGCGGATGTCTATCTGCAAACGGATGAGGAAAGCGCAGTCAAACACGAAGAAATGGAATGCGCAAAGTCTTAGCAAATCGATTGGAAATGTCCTCAAAGATAGCATTCAGTTCGACGTTATACTATGAATCAATAAGACTTAAAAGAGACAGATTTGCAAGAGGTTGGGGCATCACAAACCGATCAAACTTCGGAATAAAGTATCTTACAAGGTTATTCGTGATGACTAAGCCAGCGAAAGTGTGGTAGATCTTGTTCAACGTTACTACCGTATACCTTCAGATCAAGAATTTGCACACAAAATGATCCAACACGAGAAAGTTCTTTTCATATCTCTACAAGCCTACAGAACATTTTTCAAAAGCACCCATCGTCCATATTCTGCTCTGGATCATCTGTCGCCTTGACAACAATCGCCCACTCAGAAATCGATTTTCTATAGATCCCTGGGGCTTCAGGAGCTCGCTCTCGTGTTTCTTTGCCGGATCTTTGGATAAAAGGGATCAAGGAAGTCGAAGTAGCCACAATGTAAGATTATCAAGGCGCCCCGAGGTCATGTAGTTATTATCTGTGGCATACCCAGTACATTATTCAAACTGCTTTACTCAAACAGAAGGTAATCTCGTTTTTTCTATTCCCATCACCGTCATGTTTTCAAGGCTAGCTCTAAGATTTCAGGAATTATCATCCAACAGAGACAGCTCAGTAGAACTCCATTGTCCCGTGCCAATTCAGACTCTCGCGCTTCATCATCATATGTCTCTTCGGATAGTCGTCCCATAATCACTTTTTCAGCCATCCATACAAAAGCAATTGTCAGAGAGCTTTGAGTGGAGCAA